TAAAAAAATACGGGTTTAAAGGGTCACGTCAGGACAGTGTCCTCACATGTAAGGTTGGTCGTGTTGCTTCCACTGCATGATGATTTTCAGTCTTTATAGAAATGTTTGTCGATTTTCCCCTCAGTCTGTGTCTATTGATTCTTTCAGGAGGCTTCTATAGACTCAGATCGATGCCTCTTTACCAGGGTTGAATAAAATACGAGCTTTATTTTGTCTGACATGACACCAAGTGACAGTGTCCTCACACTTCTAGTGAACCCAACATGTGAGGTTGGTTGTGTTGCTTCCACTGCATGAGAACTGTTCCCTCATCCTGGGTGAATCCTGATGATCTTCAGTCTTTATAGAAATATATGAAAAAGTAGCTGATATAGACTCAGCTCAGGGTTGAATGTAGTAAAAGCTCCATCATTATTTTGGTCTGATGTGAGACTTCCACTGTATACAGACATCCTGTAGGAAGCAGAAGGCTTGTTTTATTTATTCCGAGGTTTCGCAGCTGAGATTTACAGACGCTACAGATGAATCCAAGGCAAGAAATCTGAGTCAGAGGCATCAACACACAGGTGTCCGTGTACTGCTGTGGCTTTTTGGCAAGCATGCAGGTGAACAAAGCTTCTCCACACACCTCCCAGCTGTACGTCGCTGAATCAGCTGCTTCTTTGATCGAGGACAGCAAACCCGAGGATCCTGCCTGGGGGTAAAGAGCCTCGCAGCGGCAGCCTGAGCCCTGCAAACCTCCCAGAGTCTGCAGCAGCGGCGGCGGGATGTTGTCCGAGAGGTGTTTCTTGTCAAATAACAGGCGTTGGACTCCACAAATCCATCCACACGTCAGCCAGCTTCTCGTATTTCTAGAAGTAATTTTGTTTTAAAGTGTGCGGTCGGCCCAGAGGTCTGCGTTTTAATAATGCGGCCGACTTCAGCCCAGAAGCTGTTGAGTGAAAACAGCTGGCTGGAAGTGAAGCGGCGTCGCGAGAAGAAGCTTGTCAGGCTGTGCTGAAGGACAACTGGCTTTGCAGAGTTGTAGCAGCTTTAGTCTTGTTTCGTGATGGAGGCAGATGATGATGTCAGAAGAACTTGGGAAGAAGAGGGAATCAGAGTAATGGTGCTCAGCTCAGTGGACTGGCGTGTCTCTGTTTGTCCAGCATCACTCCTGATTGCACACCATCAAATAAGTTCTGGTTTATCAGTTCTCCCACTCTGCAGCGTCTGACTGACTTCCCTCTGCAGAAGCTCCGTCTTTGTTCTCCTCTCACAGAGCAAATCCGTAAAGCAACAGCAAAGAAAACAAACCTCCTGTGTTGCAGATGAATCTTGTTTTCACTCTGAGTTTTGCTGTAACTTGTCAAACGTCCGGTCTTTTTTTCTCTCTCTCTGCAGCTGCTGAGCAGTAACGGCGAGGCTGTGGAGGGAACCAACGGGGAGCTTCACGAAAAGGTAAAACCCGAGCAGCTCTGATGATCGATTAACACTCGTCCAGCATAACCGCCCACGTGTTTTAGTGGCACTAGATGCAGAAATCACATCTTAAAATTAGCAACTTTGCTTCACAGCTTGCTTGAAATCCTTAATTTGGACAGCAGATATCCCTAAAATGATGAAGCAATATGCAAAAATAATGTTTCGATATTTAAATGTGTGATTTCTCGTGAGTTCAGGAATCATGTCAGAACTTTTACAAATCGTTCTTTTATAGTTAAAAGTTTTGAAGACATGTTACAGCCCGAAAAAATGATTTTAAGCCGTTTTTATTGCTTGACGAGAAAAGTGTGTCCCTTTATTTTTACTACAGATCATTTAATGCAGATGGTGAGCTCGCCATAAGCTACTCTCAAGTCATAAAATCTTTTTTAAACTATGAAACGCACATTATTCCATCTCAAATATCATCAGGGACCTTCTGCTCGACCGTCTCCAATTTGCTTCAAGCTTTTTTTTTAGTCATAAACTGTTTCTATTAAAAATATCTGAAATTTTATATATATCAAATAAAAAATGACCCTCTGACCTACTTTTTAAAAAAATGTTTTTTAAGGTTATTCAAGTTAAAAGCCTGAAATTTTCAGTTTTTTCTAANTTTAGCCCCGACTCTGTGTGAGTGTTTCTTTAATCAGAAACACTCACATGAGTTTCCACAAACGTTCTCCCACAATCCTTCACTCCGCTGATTTCATGAAGCTTTGTTCGACCACGGAGCTCATTGCTGCGCGTTAGCCTGATTTGACTTGACTTACTGTCTTCCTCGATCCGAAGTGACAGCGCTGATACAACAAGACGCATTAGAGACAAACACCAACACACACACACACACCAACACACACACACACACACTCTCTCTGCTGTAAACGCGTTGCTTACTCGACTCCCAGCGTCGTGCGTTAAAGCCACGCTCCTGTCGCGTCTCGTTTGTCACCTGCTGCTCTCGTTTCTTCTGTTCCCTCGGTGCAGACGAGCCGCCGTGACAAACAAAATAAGTGCTCTGCTGAATAAGTATTCCCTGGATGTACTTTAGCGCAGTTTGGTGATGAAATTAGATCATGCAAAAACATCTGAGTACACACGAGGAGTGAATACCTGTTAGATAACATCATTATCACGCCGAAAAGACTGAGAATTAGGACGGCTTTCATAACACAGTCGTGAACGCGAGGTCTTCTCACCGCCAGCTGCAGCCTCCAGTCAGAAGTTTCTCATCTTTTATGAACGTGAGGAGGAGCGAACGCACCTCCTGCAGCTTCTTCAGTCTAATTAGTGGAGCTAAATAGCATTTCCTATCCAGTGCATGTTCAGACGAACCACTGCAGCCAACAAACCCTCAGTCAGCAGCAAGCTTAGTGGGTTCTACTGCCAATAAGTCTGTTTGTGGGTCATCAGAACTCATCAGAATCAGCTTTAATGACCAAGTATGGACACAACGCACAAGGAATTTGGTTTCGGCTGTTGGTGTCGACCTGGGAATAAATAGGAAAATAAAAAATAAAGTAAAATAACTATAGAAAGAAAAGAATTAAAAAAAATACAATAAATAAAACAAAATAATAAGACAAATATATACAAGAATTTGGCAATATAACAAACTTGTTGATAAAAAGCTGTCACATTTGCTTCAGTGATGCTTTTTAAATGTCGATAAAGTTTGAGATTATTACAGTTTATATTCCATAAGGACACGCAGGAGCTTCAACTAAATCCACAGCTGACCCTGAATCAGTCCAACTCATAAAAACACACACAGAGGGATTCTTTATTTGCTTCAAACCAAATGCACTTTTTCAGTATTATGACACAAAATGTTCTGGTGCAAACATTTCTGCTCCACTCGTCTGCAAACTATTAACCAAACAACACAAAAAACAGTTTCTCCTGCAGCAGCATTAATGTTCAACAACATCTGAATACGCAGCGATAGAAATAAAAAACGTCCTTTGCTGAAGTAAAACTGTAGAAATACTCGATTACAAGCGTTTAAACACGCTGAAGTGAAAACATGTAGAGTTTTTAAGTATGTTCAGCAGCATGTGACTGTCTATGGAGTCACTACTTTACATACAGGGAGCTGGTTTAGTCCCTGAATCTAAGAGTTTCTTGGTTTTATAGAATTTTTCATTTCTTCTTTGACTTTGGATGTGAATTAGGGGATATGATAAAGTCTTTCTGCACGTTTAAAAAGCTGCTACCAGGTCATTTTGATTTAAAAATTCACTTAAATCACCTTTTTTCCCTGTTATTTCACAAGTAAACAATGAAAATGTACAACCAGGGTCAGTAGGGAGTCGACCTTAACTTCTGCATTCGGTTCATGCAGCCGTTCCTGTTTCCTTGCAGGACGACTTGTGGCTTTATTCTGAAGACTCGTCCGTTAATGTCACTGAGTCACGCTGCATCTCGCTTGTGAAGATAAACGTGCGTCTGTGTTTGTTTTGCAGCAACTCCTGAGTCTGCAGGAGAAGCTGACGAGCAAAGAAGCCGAGCTGGAGCAGGCGCGAGAGGAGCATCGCTACCTGGAGGGGGAGGTCCTGACCCTCCGAGACAAGGTGTGGACTCTGATGTTATTCAGCTTTATTTATGTATGAAGAATTTACAACAAAACACTCTTTCATGTTAAAGGGAAAAAGATTTCTACAAATTACTGTCAGTCAGATGCACCTTTGGCTGCAGTTTTGATTCTGTGTGGATGGAGCTCAGTGTGAACATCTGGACGCTGCATTTCACTTCATAGTTCTTTACAAAACTGCTGAAACTCAGTCAGGTTGCACAGGGATTGTAAATAAACAGCCTTTTACAAGTCCAGCCACAAATCCTCAGTTGGATTGAGGTCTGGGCTCTGACTGGGCCTCCAGAACATTTATCTTGTTGTCTTTAAACCATTTCAGGGTTCTCACCACCCAATTACTGCGCTGTCTTTCAAGCTGTGTGTTTGGAAAATTTGACATATTTGACATAACTCATTTCTTTACCGTCGTCTTCGCTGTTGCTAACGAATAGCAGCGTGAAGCCGCTAGCATGATGATGCTGCCACCACCGTGCTACAGTGAGGATGGTGTGTTTGTGATGATGTGCGGTGTTTGGTCTTGTCTGAAGGCCAGAAAGTTCAGTTTTGGTCTCATCAGACCAAAGAGAATCTTCTTTCAGCTGACTTCAGTGTGTCCCTCGTGCCTTCTGGCAAACTGTGGTAAAGACTTAATATGAGCTTTTTTTTTTTATCAGTAACTCTCTCTTTGCTATGCTCCCATTAAATTTTGTCTGGTAACAAACAGGAATGACTTGCTGTATCTACAGTCTCTCCCATCCCACCCACTGAAGCTTATACCTCCATCAGAGGAATCATAGGTGGCTTAGTGGCCTCCCTCCCCAGCCTCTTTCTTACTTGGTTAATCAGATTTGAAAGTCACCTGCTCTCGGCAGATTTGCACACGTGACATATTCTTTCCATTTATTAATGACGGTTTTAATTTTACTTCAAGGGAACTGTGCTCCACTCCTTCCCCTGACTTGTGCTTTTCAACAATCTATTCATTGGAGCATTTTTTAGTCTTCATGGTGTGTTTATATCCAGGAGTACTGATCCACCAGTGACTGGACCTTGCTTTATTGTAGAATTCTTGTCAAAAAAGCCAAATTAAGGGTAAAACTTCCCAGGGGTTTGGGTACTTGTTATAGGTTCTGCACATGCAGGTACCCGACCAGCTGGTTGTTTGTTGTAGCCCAGTGCAACGTACAGAAAAGATGACATAACGTGCAGTGCAGATGTTAGTGTTTGTTTAGTGTGTCGAGTCGCTCTGCTGTGGCTCTTTCAGGATCAATACAATAAAAAAGGGACACACACACACACACACACACAGGTTCAAAACGATGGAGGGCTGAAGGGGGTTGGAAGGACATGAGGGCTGCTATGGCAACAGCCCTGCTGCCAGGATGTTTTTCCGTGTTCTCCTGCTGAGAGGCGAGTGGTGTGACCCGAAACAGCATGTGTGTGGTTTATAAATACATGTTGGTGGATAAAACTCAGGCAATTTACTTGAAAGCTGAAATCAATTCTGCAATGCAAAAATGATGTGTTGCATTATGCAGTCAGTTAAAAAAACAACTCTACATCCGTCACATCTTTTGTATTTAACATGTTTTACAAAAGAAAACAAGACAGTTAGAGCCGAGGTAGGCAGGACTGTGGAGGTTATGGGGCAG